ATGGTGATGATGATGATGATGATGATGATGATGGTGATGATGATGATGGTAAAGATGGCGATGATGATGATGATGATGATGATGGTGATGATGATCATGATGATTATGATGATGATGATGAAGAAGATGATGATGATGATGATGAAGAAGATGATGATGATGATGATGATGATGGTGATGACGATGATGAAGATGGTGATGATGAAGAAGGTGATGGTGATGATGATGATGAAGATGGTGATGATGATGATAAAGATGGTGATGATGATGACGATGGTGAAGATGGTGATGATTATGAGGAAGATGATGATGATGATGGTGATGATAATGATGGTGATGGTGGTGATGATGATTATGATGATGATAATGAAGATGATGATGATGATGATGATAAAGATGGTGATGATGATGATGGTGATGGTGATGATGATGATGATGATGATAATGAAGATGATGATGATGATAGTGATGAAGATGGCGATGATGATGATGATGATGATGATGATGGTGATGATTATTATGATGATAGTGATGATGATGATGAAGATGATGATGATGATGGTGATGATGATGATAAAGATGGTGATGATGATGATGATGGTGAAGATGGTGATGATGACGATGATGAAGATGGTGAAGATGGTGATGATGATGATGAAGATGTTGATGATGATGGTGGTGATGATAATGATGATAATGATGATGATGATGATGTTGATGATGATGATGATAATGATGCCTGTGGTCGCTGATAGGTCAGTGGGGGTTGCCAGTGGTTACGGTAGCCGGAGTGTTGGGAATGCTAAGTGCGACGCTGGCAGGAATCGTGGAGTCCATTGGAGATTATTATGCCTGTGCTCGTCTCTCTGGAGCCTCACCTCCTCCAGTCCATGCCATCAACAGGTGAGATAGGAAGTAAACAGGAAGTTAGAATACCTGCAAACTCACCCACAGTGCCCCCCAGCTGCTGTGTGACAGTGTTTGTTTTTTCAGGGGAATCTTCATTGAGGGACTTTCTTGTATCATTGCTGGTTTGTTGGGAACAGGAAATGGCTCCACTTCCTCAAGTCCAAATATAGGCGTTCTAGGCATCACCAAGGTAACCGAGATCATGGACACGTGGAAGGATTCATTTGTTTGATAGAAATTTTCCGGTCCTGAACCGATTGTTATAGACCAGATCATAGACTGTGAATAAAGATCTGACTGCAAATAATGTCATCACCACAAGATGGCAGTGATTGAATGTGAGATATGATCTTATTATGTACAGGTGTTGTTCATCTTTATCTACAGTCGCTGATCATTTTTATTTACAGATCATTGATCATTGATTGGTGAATAGGCCTCAATTGGCGTTTTGGATGTTTGAATCGTTGAACCTGTGTGCAGGTGGGCAGCAGGCGGGTGGTGCAGTATGGAGCCGGCATTATGTTGCTGTTGGGATCTGTCGGGAAGTTCACGGCTCTGTTTGCGTCACTGCCAGATCCGATTCTTGGAGGGATGTTCTGCACACTGTTCGGTGAGTCAACATCAAAGCTCACACATGTTCATACAGGTGTGTTAGTGATGTCACATCAATCCAGGTGTTAATGATGTCACAACAATCCAGGTGTGTTAGTGATGTCACAACATCCAGGTGTGTTAAGCCTAGTTTATGCTTCTGCGTCACGTCTACGCTGTACCTACGCCGTAGGTCGTTGAGCATTCGAAGTTCTGCGTCGAGGGAACGCGTTGCTCTGCAATTCACCGCCATGCCGCTAGGGGGTGTAGCGGTGTGTTTGTGTGGTTATAGCCGAATCATCGCTTTTTCTTCCGTAAAGTAAACAACAGTAAACAATGGCGACCGAGGTGGAGCAGCTGTWTTTGTTGTTGGAGCTCATCAATATTGAAGAACAAATGCTTATATTGCAAATGTTGAAGCGCAAGCTACAAAGAAAACGTTTGCGGAGGTGTTTTTTACGACGAGGAAGAAAGACCGGAAAAGCAACTGCCGGAACTTACGTTCTGAGTGGACCAATCACAGCGCTTACGGTCCCCGTCGACGTCCGCGTAGTTAGGATTTTTGGGAGGCGCACGTCAGGCTACGGCGTAGGGGTCTGCGTCTACGCCGTAGCTACGGCATAGCTACGGCGTAGACGTGACGCAGAAGCATAAACTAGGCTTTAGTGATGTCACAACAATCCAGGTGTGTTAATGATATCACTATAAACCAAATTCAATTCAATTTTATTTGTATAGTGCCAAATCATATACATGATCTCAAGACTCTTTACATAGAAGGTCAAGACCTTAAAATCATATTAATATAGAGAAACCAACAGGTGAACAATGAGCAGCACTTTGAGACTGTGGAGGAGAAACTCCTCATTAACAGAGAGAAACCTCAAGAACCAGACTCAATGTGGAGACATCTGCCTCCACCGGGGGTGAGCAGAGAAAAAGAGGAGGAGAGTGATAGTAGGGAGGAAAATGAGAGAGGGACTATGGGAATACAAAGTGAAATAGTCATTGACATGTTATCAAATAAATAAATGAGTGTGGGGGGGGAGAGAGACAGAGAGAAGTGGAGAAATGTTCAGTGCATGATGGGAGGTCTCCCAGCAGTCTAGACCTATAGCAGCATAGCTAAGGGATGGTTGTTCAGGACCTGATCCAGAACTATATGCTTTATCAAAAAGGAACATTTAAAGGGAAAAAAAAGAACGTTTTAAGTTTAACTTTAAATGTAGAGATGGTGTCTGACTCTAGAACCCAGAGTGGGAGCTGGTTCCACAGGAGAGGAGCCTGGTAGCTGAAGGTTCTACCTCCTGTTCTCCTCTTACAGACTCTAGAACCCAGAGTGTGAGCTGGTTCCACAGGAGAGGAGCCTGGTAGCTGAAGGTTCTACCTCCTGTTCGAACATAACTCACGGTTCCTCACAGTGGAGCTGGAGGACAAACTGACACCAAGGTGACTCTCTGTTCAGACAGTGATTCTCTGAGATGTTGAGGGTCAATTACAATGACCTCAGTCTGAATTAGAAGTAAGAAGTTCTGGCTCATCCAGGCCTTGATGTTCTTGAGACGTTCCTGAAGTTGAACTAAGTGATTAGATTCATCAGGCTTCATAGAAATGTACAGCTGGGTGTCGTCTGCATAACAATGGTAGTGTATGTGGAGCTTTCTCATGATGTTGCCTAAGGGAGCATATATAAGGTGAAGAGTATCGGTCCAAGGACAGAACCTTGTGGAACTCCATGACTAACTTGCATGTGCATAGTCATTGTTGACGTTAACAAATTGAAATCTATCTGATAAATATGACTGAAACCAGTCTGATGTTCCTCTGATCCCTTCATGTTGTTCTAGTCTCTGTGATCTTATGATCTATGGTGTCAAACGCTGCACTAAGATCCAACAGGACGAGGACAGAAACAAGTCCATCATCTGAGGCCATGAAAAGGTCATTAGTGACTTTTAACAGCTGTTTCTGTGCTGTGATGGATTCTACATCCTGACTGAAAGTTTTCCAACAAACCATTTCTATCTGAGTCATCACACAGCTGGTTAGCAACAGCTTTCTCTAGGATTTCAGAAATGAAGGTTTGATGTGGGTCTGTAATGAGCTCAGACCTCTGGATCAGGCGTAGGCTTTTTCAGCAGAGGTTTAATTACAGCTACTTTAAAAGCTTGTGGTACGTAGCTGGTTAACAAATAATAATAATAATAATAATACATTTTATTTCAAAGACGCCTTTCTGTCACCCAAGGACACCGTACATAGTTAAAACCCAAAAAGCGAAACATTAAAAAGAAATACATTAAAATAGAGTCATTAAAAGTATACATCATAAAACATTAAAACCGAATAAAATTTCACAGTGACATGAGGTGGGTTTAGATGGAGAAGGCAATTTTAAACAGATGGGTTTTGAGTGTGACAAAGACATGTTCATCTGATTTAATATGGAACTGTCAATCAGGGGTAAACTTCCTTAAAATGTCCAGTTGGGACAGAGTCTAAAAGACAAGTTGTTGGTTTAGATGATGAAACTAATGAGGTCAGTTCAGGAAGGTCAATAGAAGAGAAATGGTTCGAACATAAATCTGGTTCTATGGTTTCAGGATGAATATGAATTAATTAATGAATAATAACAGGTTCTGGCATTTATGAGTGCTTTCTTGTAATTCATCAGGTTATCCTTCCAGGCTAGGTGAAAGTCATGTTGACTGGTGGAACGCCACTTCCTCTCTAGCTTCTATGATGTTTTAAAACCTGTGATTGAGAATTATACCACGGAGCTAAGCTCCTCTGATTTACCTACTTCTCTTTTAGCAGGTGACAGCGTCAAGGGTTGTTTTTAATGAGGCTGCTGTTCTATTAACAAAGTTATCAACTAATGTGTTTGTCAGGTATGATCACAGCTGTTGGTCTGTCAAACCTGCAGCTGGTGGATTTAAACTCGTCCAGAAATCTGTTTGTTCTCGGATTCTCAATGTTCTTTGGCTTGATGCTGCCGACTTACCTGGAAGCACACCCCAAGGCCATCCACACAGGTGAGACCTACATGATGTAGATCAGTTCTGTGTTTACATCTAAGTGATGTAGATCAGTTCTGTGTTTACATCTAAGTGATGTAGATCAGTTCTGTGTGTTCAGGTCTTGCAGAGCTTGATCAGATTCTGACGGTTCTTTTGTCCACTGAGATGTTCGTTGGAGGTTTTTTGGCTTTTTGTCTCGACAACACAATACCTGGTAAAACACACACGACTCTATACATTAACTAATCATATGTTTTACACAAACCCTGATTATTTACCGTTACATGTTTGTGTCGTGTCCGTTTGTGTGTGTGTATCTCTTTTTGGTGTCTTCAGGTTCCAGACAGGAGCGAGGTTTAGTTGAATGGAGATCTTCCTCTTTCTCTTCCTGCTCTTCTTATGATCTTCCTCTGGGGATGGGGGTCATCAGGAGGATTCAGTGGCTCAGGCGATTTCCCATCAGCCCCTCCTTCAAAGGTTTCAGGACGTCTGATGATCCATCGATACCTGAGGAGGAGGAAGAGCGAGGAAGAATCGGAGAGGAAGCAGCTGACGTCCACCTGTCCAGCACCAAGGTGTGACTGTGTTGTCATCAATCACACCTACCAGTTGGAAAGGAAGTACAAACCCATAAACAAAGTGTCTGTTGTAACTGTGTTTTCACAAACTTTTATGCATCAAATGAAATCTTGATAATGAAGATTATTTTATATAATAGAAATATTTGTACTATTATGAGTGTGTGATGACACTGTAAAAAATACAAACTAAAACCTGTTAGTATCACAAAAATGACACAAATCATTTTTACCATCAGGTGTTTAATGATGTGCATCAATAATGTCAGTTAATCACAAATTATGTTAAAATAAAAAACAATAGTGATTCCATAATCATAATTTACTGTCTTTTGTACATTGTTTATATTTTATGTTTTTGTTTTGTATCAAATTCAAATGTGAAATACTTCTTTTAAATGTGTGAAACACAGAAAAATATTATGTTCATGAAAGTTTTGTGTAAAAAAAATTTGTTTTGACTGAAATAAAAACAAATGTTTCAAAACATGACAAAACATGTTGAATTTATTCTTGTACATTTTTATAAAAATCTACTGAATATTCATGAGAAGATGAGGAGACAAAATCAATAAAGGTTATTTCACTTTATCTGCTCGTCAATTCGTCTAACCCTAATCCCTAACCCTTTACTACTGGTTGTATCATCAATCAATTATCAAACAATCAATCATCAAATCAACAAAAAGAAAAATGTGAAGTATAATAAAATCATGGTGACCTCACTATTTTAAGTGCCTTGAGATAATGTTGGATTGCATTTATACAAATAATAATAAATAATTATACTGTTTCACATATATATGTTACAGTTACATCTATCCATACATATAGATGTAACTGTAACATATATATGTAAAACAGTATAATTATTTATATGTGTGTAATTATTTATATATATATATATATATATATATGTATAGCCATCATGGTGACGTGTGTGTGTGCAGGGTAATGGGGAGACAGGGGGTGGTGTACAGGGTCGGCTGGAACCTCATCACTGAGAGAATGGCTGGATGGACTCTGCTCGTCTGTAGCATAGTGGGGGTGGGGTTTATCACAGCAGGGGCGGGGTTGACATGACAAACGGGGAACATAGTGTTGGGGGTGGGGCTTGCTCCAGGTAGGAACACCTGGATGAACTGTCCAGTTTCTGGATCCAACAGCATCTTTCTATGATGTTGTGGGTGTGTATACACATAGCAATACCGCCCATTTGGCTCTAACATCATGTGAAATGGAGCAGGGCCACCGAAGACCACTCCAGGTGTTACAGCAGAACCTGGGATGTCAATGAGGAAGTCATTTCTCACCTGTGCAGGTAAGGAACTCGGGAAACTGCAGAGAAAAGGCTGCTGCTTATTCTTTAATGTGGGCGGGGTCACTGCACTCACATTGTGGTCTGCTGCCATCCTGGTAGTTGGGGGAGGGAAAGTCATCCTGGTCTGGTCCGAGGTGTCTCCAGGTGACCTGCTCTGGTGGAGGTGGGTGTTCTGGATGGAGTTGTGGGAGGTGCGGATGTAGCTCACTTTCCTCAGGTGAGGATGTTGGGAGGAGGGCGTGTAGAAACAGGTTTGGACCTGCTGGGGGGGGTCGGGGACAGATTGAGAAGACACACCTTGGGGGGAAGGCTGTTCCTGCTGATTTACCTGGGGGTGTCTGGGGGAGGAGGGGGAATGAGGAGCAGAAAAGAGGATGGAGGCCCCTGCCTGGTGACCTTCAGCTCTTTCTGATAGGCCAACAGTTGCAGATGTGGATGGGGGTGGCTCTAAAAGCATGACATCACCTCCCCTTCTTCTGCCTATTATTGACTCGCTGCCTTGTCTCTGCTGTGTGATTGGATGACTCAATGTATTGTACTGATTTCTGTCACAGGATTTGTTGAAAGATGCAGCAACCTTTGAAACATGTCCTCTGGTGGAGTGACCTTTGACCCCTACGGCCTGTTGGTAGGTAGGAGGTGGGCTGTTCTCCTGACCAACCACCTTGAATTTTGCTGGTTTGAATTCCTCAGGTGTTGTTGCTGTTGAGAACGAGAGGCTGTATGTGTTTTTAACCAAACTTCTGACATCTCTCACCACGTGAACCGGAGCTTTAAACACACCTGGCCCCTCCTCCTTTCCTCCTCCCGGAGGTAACGCTGCAAGTTTCTTCTTCAGGTATGATGTTTTCGTGTTGATCTCCTCAACCTGCATCTTTTTGGAGAGCACACTCTTAATGATGCACGATGCCATCTTTGTTTTTGTTTCATCCAGGGAGACAGATTTTTGCAAACGTCTCTGCACCACTGATTGTCCTCCAATCAGAAACCCTGAAACCAGAAATAGGAATAGACCAGAATAAACCATCCACGCTCATCACAGACAGTTACCTGAGCACCACAGGAAAAGGTGGAGTTCTCTAACAAGGTCAGATGTAGTTACCTGGACTGGCTCCTGCATATAGGCCCCTATTGACCCCACAGCTGTCGACATCACTGCAGATCATCGGACGTGTGGGGAATGAGGTGGGCATACTGTGTTGTCGTAGCAACAGATCAGGGCGATGATGGACAATTGGACAGAACAGTTCATTGGTTGACATATCACTGTTTGCTCGTCCCCCTTCAAAAGGTTCATTCTTCAGTATCACCTGGTCAGGTAGATAGACAGATAGAGATAGGTAAAGAGACAGAGACAGACAGATAGGTAGACAGACAGACAGACAGACAGGTACCTGTAGTTTATCATTCTTTACCTCATCATTCATTTTCTTGGTCTTGTTTTTCTTCTTCAGGTGAATCTGCCGTTTAGGAACCATCTTTAGCCCCTCCCCACCCTGCCCCATCACCTGAACAGGAAAAACACAAAGGGGACAGGTAGAGAGACACACAGGTAGGGAGAGAGATAGACAGGTGTGTGATGAATAAAACACTGATGTAATTAAATGTAAATGTTTATTTCTGAAAAGTTCTGATGCTTGATGATGTTTATGAGTCATCAAAAACTAAAAGTGAAAATTAAAAATTTTTTAAATTAGTTTTTGTCTTTTTAATCACTCTCCGATTTCTTTTTTATTTTCTGTCTTATTTTTAGACTGTTTTCTGAAGTGTCTGTTATTGGCTTTACTTCCTGTTTCTACTTATTAAGTTTGACCTGTCTGCAGACAAGATGGACGCCTGCGAGCGCCTGTGCACTAACTTCCTCTGTACGCACATGAGCAACAGACAGGTAATGATACCATCGTAGCAGTGGACATAGGTCTTGTGTTTTCTCCTGGTGAAGTTTTAAATGGGCCAATATCAAGTTGATTTTACAAGTCTTTAAAAAGCCTCAAATTATTTTGCTCAACTATTTTGCATTTGATGGATCCAAGAGGTAATTTGCTGGAGCATCATGGATTCTGTCATAAATTTGACAAAATTCAAGAGTTACTGAAGCAATGCCAAAGACAATGATGAATTCACTGAGAGGCCCTCTGCTTTACAGTGTCATTACTTCACAGTTACCTCATCTGTAAATGTAAGAACAATTGTATCTCTCACACTTCGATTATTTGATTGAAATTATAAACAGAATCATAACTGGATACTTCTCT